GGAATCATCACTTCCTCTAACATCGCCCGCAAAATGATTTGAAGTTGCTTGATTAAGTAAACATGCCTCGACTGCTCCTTTTTATACGTTATCTAAGTTACAAAGTTAAGAACAGATATTTGTGAACATAAATGTCAGCAACTTAGTTGCAGCAAGATGGTCCTCTAAAATTACGATTTCTGGTTCTTTCGCGAGATACATGTAGTCGTTTGACATTTCCATTAGCCTGGGAATATGGTACCTCATACTGGCCATTTCTTTCAATTTCCATAATCTGCAGACGGTTTTAAAACATAAAATATGGTTTTCATAGAGATTCCACGTGGTTTATTTCACATTTTGTAATCGAAGCTTTTATTTTTGTAACTCAGTTTTCAATTTTTGTTATGAATTTCGTACCCGTCTCTCTGTCCTGAACAGGGCTCTTTCTCGAAAACTGTTCTGGGCCGGTAGGGTACCGAGCTACTCCTCTTCACGTTCGGAGGCGAGGTATTACCGTTACACCACTGGTCCTTGTGCTCCAGGTGCAGCCTGGTAGTGCATCTGTTGTGCCTCTGCCTTTCGGAGATACACCTTCCTACTCTTTTTTTTTTTTGGCGGCTTCTTGGCCTGCTTTTCGCGGGTTTTCCGCGACACTCTTTTGGAAATTCCTCCCCTCTCCCTTCACCTAGCACGATTTTAGGGTGTGCTTTATCCACTAAGTTTTTTTCTTGCAGAAGCACGTAGATATTCTGCTGGTGTTTTTGGTTCATTACTGATACTTAGCAACCTACGAAACGAAGGTCATCAACAGTTTTTTCAGCGGGCGGTTGCTTTTAGCACACACTTAAGATTAATCAAAAACACGCAAAAACTCACTAATTTCGCATCTACTAATCTTTTTTAAGTGAATTTTTAGCTTTTCCGGAATGCATCCCGCAGCAAAAACAGTAGAAAAAATTCTTTTCCCCTTCGCATTTATTATATTTTGGGCATTTCGGAATACGTTGGGCTGAGTCCGATTGCCTCTGCCTCTTTTAGAGAGAGTGGATGATGAGTTTTAATTCTTATCTGAAGTTCAGGAAACAGTCAATTTTGCAATGAAATTCAGTGCGACATTTTCAAAAGCATTGACAAAGCATGCTACCTGTTCGGTAAGCATACCAAAAGCGTCCTCAATGCCATAATTCTCTTTCGCGGATGTTTTCAACGCACTCTGGAAGCCACCGAATTCACGGTATTTTTTCAGCATTTCAAATGTAATTGTATTGGGTAGATCAGCCTGAAAATTAAATGTTTCGTGATACTTATGTTAATTGTGCGTTTCTTTTATTAATAATTAAACCTTACTTATCTTACTTTTTGAAGCAGTTCTTACAGGAGGAAAAAACAAAAGTTTTGCTGTCTTCCGATTGCTGTTGGCACATGCCACCACTCGGATTACTTTCGATGCCTTCGCTTTACATAAAAAAATGAAATTTGAGGAGTTTTTTAATTTCCGTTTCGAATATTTAATATTTGTTTGGGATTCTAAAATTCGAAAGTTTATTGAAAGGCTACTGGAAAATTATCATGAAATGCCTCGTAGTTTCTCATTTTCGTTACAAATGATCATCCCCTAAGCATCGAAAATCTCATTTCGTGTTTTTTCCTCTTGACGCTCCTTCAGAATTCATACACATTTCGTTGCTTTAGTGTGCAGTATGCCAGTTATTAG